CCCCTCCTTCCAGTTAGCTCCAGCGTCTTCACTCTCAAACATCTGCACACTTTCACGAGAGACAGACCGTGTCTGAGCTTCGCCTTGCTACGGTCTTTGTGTAACGGAAACGACGCCCGTCCCAGCTTTCGCCGCAACCACCTCGACGACAGGCCCATCCGCCGGCCTCGCATCCACATCGGGTCATCTGTCACCTGCTTCACACTTCAGCGCTAGCTATCGTCACGTCGGGTATGTCAGTCTCCGTTTGTCGCGTGGGAGTTGCCCCAGCACAGTATTAACTTGCAAACAGCCGAGCAAAGCAATCGGTATACGCCAGGACTCCAGAACGTCAAGTATTGCGCCACGCCAATTGACTCTCGTTTTGTATCATCTGCCAAATGCTGCCCAATTAGCGTACTATCGACGGAGCATTCTACTCTAGCATCTCACCCACCTTTCGTTCTTCCACCATGGCGTCCTTTCCTGAGCAAGAAGAGATGGATAAGCGGTCGAGCGCACTAGTGGCGCCACTGAACATTCACAAATCGTCACCAGGAAGATCGCGCTCGCGGGCTTTTGGCCACACTCGCCAATCCTCATCAAGGGGAACACATTCCAGTCGGTCGCAGTCGCAAATATCGCCACCTCTGACCCCGAAGACTTCAAGTGAAGCCATGGCTCTGCAACAGCAACAACATCCGCAACCTGTATTCCACAACTACCTCCGTGCGTTCTATCATTACAGCCCGAGTACGACAGTGTCGTCCTCAACCGACGAGTCGTCCATCACCGTCGCCATCAATCAAGGCGATGTAATCCTCGTCCACTCTGTTCATCCCAATGGCTGGGCCGATGGAACACTATTAGCGTCAGGGGCCCGCGGATGGCTGCCCACCAACTACTGCGAACCCTATGACAATCCCATCATACGGAATCTTCTGACCGCGTTAACATATTTGTGGGATTTGGTCCGCGATGGAGAGAATGGCGATCTCGGTGCCTTCTCGAGACAAGACTATGTCAAGGGCATGATTGTTGGCGTCCGCCTCTTCCTCGTAAGTGAAGCTTGTGGACGAGTATAGATTGTGTTTGTGTCCCGATTACTGACTCCGAACAGGAACGGACTGAGTGCCTGCAGAAGGATTCACGCCTCATCCTCACACACGTAAGTCTACGGCGCATGCGGAAAGCTCTCTTAGGAGATCTTTCCACACTCGTCAAGACGGCCAAGACCTTGCAAGAAGCCCTGCAGTCGAACGAGCTGCAGGTGCCCGTTTTCGAACACATGGACGAGCTTGTGTTCAAATCATTCAAGTTGGTGACTCGGGCCGTGCGTTTCCTTGACATCTGGACGACGGACGCAGTGGCGCTGTCACTCTTCGAGCTTGGCGACGCCAGTAGTCATCGACCACTCACCCCGCCGTCCGACTCGGTCGATGCTGCTGTGGAACCACGAGCAATATCAGCCCCCTCGGGCGAGAACAGGCTTTCGGCGAACGAATGCGACTCTCCGGTTACGCAAGGTGCACCATCAGTGCACGACGACTGGTACACCACCACTGCTCAGCCGCAGAGAAACCTGAACCGCCTATCAGTCGCCTTTTCGCTGCCCTCGGAGACAGATTCACTTCAATCACCAATACTCCCCTCCCATTCCTCAGTGCAGTCGAAACGTATCTCCATGACACATCGCTTGTCGTACACCGGTAAATCAGCAAGTGCGCGCAAAGGAAACCTAGCCACCGAGAGGCTAAACGCCGCGCACGACGCTTTCCTGGGCTACATCGGCTCCTTTATTGGGTTGCACCTGCAATCACGGTCTTCGGAAGAACTTGCTCAGATTACCCAGCACTCTGTGATTGCGTGCCGCCAACTTCTCAAAGTTGTTGAGGAAGTATGGGAACGAGACTCGCGACGATCCGAACAACTGGCAGAAGCACGAGACACCATGTACACCCGTTTGACGGAACTAGTGCAAGCGACCAAGGACATGTTCATCAACGCCGATACCGACGTTGAAGAGGTGGTGGCGCCTGAAGCAGGGAAGCAGATCGTGGCTGCCGCTACAAGCTGTGTGCGTTCTGCTGGTGATTGCGTCACCAAGGCTAGGGTTGTGATCGAAAGGATTGGCGATTTCGAGTTCGAAGCCGAACCTGCTGGTCTCGGGATCTCAGAAACGATCTTTCAAGAACCCGACGCAGACAACCAGGAGTCCACAGCTAGGTCCGCATCGCCCAAGCCTACAGACACCGTCCTGGAGACCAACAAGCCACTACCCGCTACGCCAGTTGAGGAACGCGAAATGCCTCCACCACTAGTCATCTCAGAGTCAAAGCCACTACCCGAGGTGCCGCAACCATCACCACTCGAAACCAACAGGCTTAGCCTTCAGCCTTCGTCCCAGGCCGTAATAGTCGAGAGCCCAACCGCAGTGTCGTTCAGATCGTCCCGGTCATCATTACCTCCTCTCAATGCGGTGCCTACTCCGGTTCTGGCTCCACCTCATGCGTCTGATTCCGCCGATAGTCCCTTGAGCACGACACAGGAAAGTTTTGCCGGTTCGACCAAAACTGACAGCGTCTACGTTTCAGTAAACGATGGGAGCAGCACCTACTTCAGTGCACAAGGCGATTCTGCAAGCATTCTCTCTCACACGTCCACACGTGCCACTACCCCGGATCATTCGCCCACGAAGAAGGAGAGTTGTCAAACCTTGATCAGCAGCTTTGGCAGCTCCTCTGAGCTCCGATCTCTAGCAAGCGAAGATGTCGCTGCTGGCGAAGAGCACTTATTGGAGACCACCTATGTCCATGAATTGATCTACAACAAAGAGGGCCAAATCTCTGGTGGTTCCCTCCCAGCGCTTGTAGAACAGCTGACTACCTTCGAATCTACCCCAGATGTCGTCTTCGTCAACGCGTTTTATTTGACGTTCCGCCTCTTTACCACGCCACTCGACCTCGCGCAATGCCTGATCGACCGTTTTGATTACATCGGTAACAGCCAGACCGTGGGTGTGCCGGTACGTCTTCGTGTCTACAATGTCTTCAAGGGTTGGCTGGAAAGCCATTGGTGTGGCGAGAGCGACGCTGTTGCTCTAGGCGTCATCCTCGCGTTCGCCACCGGAAAGCTTAGGGCTGCTATGCCTGCTGCTGGCAAAAGACTTGCGGAGCTTACTTCCAAGGTAACGGAAGTAAGGGCTGGTGCTCTTGTACCTCGATTGGTATCGTCGCTCAGTCAGACAGGTGCTTCAAACCCTGCGTTCACTCTTGCGGATAGCAATGTGCCGTCCCCAATTGTGACTAAGAGCCAACTCAACGCTCTGCGAGGTAGCAAAGAGGGCAGGACGCAATGCAGCATCTTGGACTTCGATCCTTTGGAACTTGCCAGACAATTCACCATTATCGAGTCCAGGCTCTTCTGTGCCATCCAACCCGAAGAACTTCTTGCCCTGGAATGGACCAAGAAGAAGAATTCGAAGGCTCGCAACGTCAAAGCAATGTCGACGCTTTCGACCGACCTGGCAAACCTAGTTGCCGACACCATCCTGCAGCTCGAGGACGCAAAGAAGCGTGCTGTTGTTATCAAGCAGTGGGTCAAAGTTGCGGCAAAATGCCTGGAGCTTAACAATTACGACTCGTTGATGGCCATCATCTGCTCGCTCAATTCATCCATGGTCATGCGTCTCAAACGTACATGGGAAATTGTGTCCACGAAAACGAAGGCTCGCCTAGATGAACTGAAGGCAATTACCGACGTAGGACGTAACTATGCTGTGCTCCGACAGCGTCTGCAAAACCATGTCGCGCCATGCATTCCATTCGTCGGTATCTACCTTACCGATCTTACGTTTATCGACGTCGGCAATGGCACCACACGACAGCTCCCCGGAGATTCCGGTTCTGACAGCGTCTCCGTCATCAACTTCGACAAACACATGAAGACAGCTAAGATCATCGGCCAGCTCCAATCATTCCAAGTTCCTTACCGACTGGCTGCCATACCAGAAATGCAGGACTGGATGGAGAGCCAAATCCAGCGAATGCACGCAAGCGACCAGGCCAACGTGCAAAGCTACTACCGCCGATCGCTGCTTCTTGAGCCTCGTGAAGCTCAACACTCTACGAGAGGCTCGCCCTCCATCGACAACAGTGCACAAAGCACATTCTCAGCAGAGAGCCGAACCAATTCGAAAGACAAGTTCGAGTTCCTCAACTTCAATTTCTCGACCGCGAACCTCAAGGGTTCATAGACATGTGTACTGCGCTTCATTGCGCCTTTCTTCATCGACCGCCTCTGGATGGCGCCTGATCACCGACATACCCTAATGTTTGCGTTTACACTGCATCTATTCTTGTCCTTTATGTCACGGACACTTACGATACCAATGCCCGAGTTCCTTTTGTTTGTTCTATACCACTTCAGCGATTTCTTTTCCGGGTGGGCTCATTTGTATTCTGCATACTCTGCAAAGACAGATCACAGGTATCTGCGCAACATTTCATACTTTTTGCATACCCATTGGGGCTTTTGGGAGCCTGTATCAATCAGGTCTTTGGCGTTAGGAAGAGGAAAGAAGTCGCTATTACAGCAAACGGTGTGTTGCTGCGATTAGCGGTTAAAAGCATTACACGATGGGCACTGGAAGACAAAATACGTTCTTTCGTACCCATAGAACCATGTACTGAGCCGTCTACCGGACTGCAGCTCTCTGAATCAAAGAAATTCTCAAACCAACTACCATCTATTCGCATTGTGACAGCACCTTATACAAGAAGAAAATTAAAAGACATCTAATATAAAAGGCAGTGTGTATGATTGTCGTGTGATAGAGCTAGAATACATCGTGGCAGATCATGATGGCAGCTGCTTCAGGGTGGGATTTCCATGTGGGGTTAAAGCTAGCGATTGCAGCGACCCCTCCACCCTCATTCCATCCGCCATCGCGTCGCATAACTGCCCCGATATCCTCTCTTCTCCCCACGTCTATACCAATCCACGCCATACTGCGCACGCCGATGACCACGATGACCACCCAAGACCTTTTGATCGACGTCCGCTCCCCAGCCGAGTTCTCGACCGGCTACCTTACCACCGACATCGCACCCACCGTAAACATTGAATACCAGGTCATCGATCAACTACCCGAAATCTACGCAGCGAAAGGCATAAATGTGGGAAAAGACGATCGAATTACGCTGTATTGTCGGAGTGGAAGACGCTCGGGTATTGCGCTGGGAAGGCTAAGGGAGATGGGGTTCAAGAGCGTGAGGGATATCGGAGGCTTCGACGAGGCCAGAAAGGTGTTGGATCGCGAACAGGTCCAAAGGCAGTTGGATTCCGAGCTAGAGAAGAGCATGGTACATGATGCTAAAGATGCAGGGAGTGGTGAGGATCCGAAGAAGCATGTTAGGGTCAAGAGCTTTGGCGCGTTGGTCGACGGATTGAAGGCACTCGAAGAGTGAGATGTCCAAGTTCATATGATGCGATTGGGAATGCAGGCATATGGGGCGCATGCGCTTCTGTCAATGTTCACCGCTGAGCTTCCGGTCAATCATCCTGCGGAGCATCGACACGAGGAAAACCGGAGTTCAGGGCACAATGGGGGTGAGACGATTTTGTCTAGTGGTACACAATATAAAGGTAAAGAATCTTCCTCAAACGAGTGGATGAAGTTGGTTTCCCCCAGTTCAAAACTCTAGCACCCTTCGAAATACCACTGCTAACCCCCCTACTTAGTCCTGCAAGCACCGTGTCTCCACGCTTCAATCTTTCCTCGAACTACTCTGGTCTATCTAGTACTTCCCGATGGAATGGCACCGGTAGGCATGGCAGTGCCAGAAGGCATAGCGCCGGAGGGAGGAGCACCACCCGGGCCACCACCCATACCACCAGAGTTCTCGTTCTCGACGCCACCTTCGTCAGTCCAGTACGCCGCTGGGGTGATGTTGTAAGCGCTGGCAGAGTCCATGCCAAATGCCAGCCAACCAAAAAGACCCTCTGAGATGTCGTTGCCGAGCATGACATACTCCACAAATGGATCAACATCCGCAGCTTCCTCCGCAAGAATGGAATCGTCGGCATTTGAAGTGACTTCCTGTTCATTGCTGGCGTACGGTTCCACTGTATCCGCGAGAGTGATGAGATCTTGGTCGAAGAACATCTGGCCCACGTGTGTGATGTGGCCGCCTGAGAGGGTCGAGTTGGCGTTTACAGTCGCGTTGAGTCTAGACATGACGTGAATGTGCGTCTACAACATTGTCTCGAGTTAGTTCCTGTTTACTCAGAACAAGGGTGATAGAAACCTGTAAGCACTTACAGCACGTCCAGTGTAGTGCCCTGGAAAGACAGTTTGGAACGAAACGACGCCATTCTCATCACTCTGCTGGATGCCACGCAACGCCGTGTTCTGCAAGTTGGACTCGTCGTCCTCGCCAACTCCGTTGCCCTGCGCTACAACACCAGAGTATACGCCGGTAGCGTTGCAGTGCCACATCTCGAGGAAAGCCTGAGGAACAGGCTCGCACGTGTTCACGTCGATGATCTGGATATCCAGTGTCATGGGGATGCCCTCTTGGTCTTCGGTAACATCCTCACGCACGAGTTCGCCCTCGACCCAGTAAGGGCCTTGGGTCACCTCGGGTGTAAGGACGCAAGAGTTGTTTCCTGCAAAGAGGGTGGCGGGATCAGTATCGGCGGTAATGCCAGTCATGTTTGACTTGTGATCAGTGGCGAGCACAGTATCGAGGTCGCGGATCCGGAGGTACGGTTTATCTGTGCGACATATCAGTATCCAGCCATCAGCGTACTCTGAGAGGGAGTGTACCTTGAGCGATAGCCCGCTTGGCTCGAAGTTTCTCTACCATGGCACTGCGGCGGACGTGCATAGCGATATCGTTACCACGCGCCTTCAGTGTATCAGCACAGTGGGCAAGAGACCGCTTGTTGTTCGCGAGGTAGGCTCTTCGCTCAGCAGCTTCCTGGGCATGCTCTGCGGCGCTCTGGCCTGGGTGAGCGAGAGAGCTCTGCGCAAGGAGGGCGGCGCTGAGAAGAGCTGTGAGCTTCATGATGGGAAGATACTTGTTGGGTCGAGGGTGCGAAGAGAAGTGATGGTGGTGAAGGCTTGCACTGCTCTCGACCAGGAGCTTTATATCTATCGTTTGGATGCCTCGATGTCAAGTCTGGATCGCGATGTCGACAGGGGAAACGAAACAGAGGCATGGTACTCGTCCCCCTACCCTTGCTCTACGCCTTAGGCCCACTGTCCTGCATGTTTCTCTTCTACCTGTACGAGTCGTCACAAGCATACGCAAGACATTGTATTGTTTCGTAGTGTCCTCAGTCTTGGCGAAACCATGAATTCGAAGCTTGTCTGGAAGCAGGCGGGTTCCCATGCACGCTTAGGCCCGCCGCTGAAAGCTTCATCTGTGTCGGTTGGCCTTGTTGTTGGACTACGTACTGTATGGTTGGTGGTAATGTTGAGAAACATTCTCCTTAACTATATGAGCATCTATTACATATATCTTTGCTCTCTCAGATTTTATCACTGTCGGGCAACTGTGTATGACCTGTCTATTCTTTCGATACCTCTCCCAACCTCTGAATCTCCACAATCGGCATCTCCACGCCGAGCGTCAACGTCAGTGTTCCCGCTGAAACAGTTCTCTATGCTAAATCCAGCCCATTTCCATTGCGTGGTTCCTGATTGGAGGCTTACGTGGCTGTCTGTGTTATACTGGGAAGGGCTGTAATGTCTAGAGTGGGTACCCAAGCGCGAGGCTAAACGATTTTGAGAGGCGATGGGCCCTAGAACTTGCAGTCTAGTCCACAAAGCTCATTGACATGCTTCTAGATTGGTTGCGCTACTGTTGACGTGCCTTACGTATGTGCGGGTCAAGAACCGCTAGCTTCCTCCGAAGAAGACGCGTAGACATGTCTTGGCAAACGCTTCCATCCCAGCTTCAGCACACTTTGAATGCACGCGCGCATCCGGAGTATCTCTTATCCATATTGTGAGATTACTATGACGAATGGGAGGTTTCGCGATTACGCAGGTGATGGTTTTGATCCACGGCATGTTCCAGGAACGACGCTTGGCGAAGTCTGTGGGTGCTTGCGTAAGTATGCTAGGAGACTTGGGTGCGGGACGAAGACGCGAATAAACAGCTAAGCGTTTCGAATGGGTGCTTATCTTGTGTACTTAAAGCTTGGGGACGTATGGTATGACGGAAGGGCGGGTTTGCTACATGGATTTGAAGCGAGTTACGAACGTCAACACAACGACCCTGCGTTACGTCAATAGACTTGCGGGTGATTTCTGTTTTTTTTTATGAGTAGTATTGATGTGCTTGAGATTTTATTACGATGCATCTTGCCGTGACTGTTCTGTGCACCACTGTACAGCTGGTTCACATCTTTGTAGACTGTACACTTCCAGTCTGTCATTCGAGATGCAATTCGCCTTCGCGCTCGGCATAGGGATAGTACTTCTGTGTTTCGGTCCATAACGTTTCTTCGTCCATCTGGCTTGCATCCAGGCCTGCAATGATGTCCCTGAACGTCTGTTAGCCCCATCTTTCCAATCGTCAATGCGACTTACTTGTCTTCAGCCAACACTTCGAAGCCCGGCACACAGTCAATGAGCGCGTACACGACATAGCTTCCGATGAAAGACCATGAAAATCCGACGAGAGCCTCCACAACCTGAATACCGAGCTGGCGTACGTTCCCATCGAAGAATACTCCACCAACAATTTCTGTGACTCCATCATATCCAGCGACTTCTTTCCTAGCAAAGCAGCCTGTCGAAATCGTTGCTAAAATTCCACCAAGGCAATGTGTCGCAAAGGTGTCGCCGTGATCAACCCATCTCCAGCGTCGAGCGAAGTCGCTAAACTTTATGCGAAGCGCTTGACGACAGAATAGTGCACCGAGCACCCCGAAAAAGAAGGCTGTTGGTAGATCAATGAAACCTGCCGAAGGTGTGATCATAATGAGTCCAGAGATGGCGCCCATGAAACATGAGTCTAGACTCCAGCGCCCAACTTCCTAAAGATGGGTGTACGAAGTCAGTGTTTGTCTCACATGCAGTTCGTACATAGGCGATTACTTGCCACATATGTGTAGAGCATCCACGTGAGCGCCCCACTGGCAGCACAGAGGTTCGTGACACACAAGGCCATTACTGACTTGAAGTTGAACGCCAGAGTGGTGCCAGCGTCAAAAGCGAGCCATGAGCCCCAGATGCTAATCATCGCGAGAAGCTGGCAAAGAGAATTGACCGGCCGGTGGATGACCAAATGCGCTGGTGTACGGGTTGAGGACTTGCGCGAGCGGAACAAAGGGTATGAAAGGTATACGGAAATCGCCGTTGCTGTTGCTCCGGAATTGATGTGTACGGGCGTACCACCTGCGAAATCTAGAACGCCTAGGTCCATAAGGAATCCTCCACCCCAGACCATGTGAGCTAATGGGTTGTAGATGAAGGTAGACCAAAGCTATCATTTGTCAGTCAAGCTCACAGGTATGCCGTCGCTCTACAAGTAGGACTCACGAATATGAATGGTATCAGTGGCAGTATTCTCCCTCTCTCACACGCGCCGCCAACCGCAATGGCACAAACTGTGGCCTGGAATACTAACTGAAAGAAGCTAAATAGTACTGCTGGAATGGTACCAACAGGCTCTGCTAGCACATTTTTGTGAAAAGCGTACTTGAAATCTCCAAAGATAGCTCCTCCTTCTCCGTATGTCAAGGTGTATCCAATGAGGAACCATTGTATCGAGCAGACGATCACTGCTAGGATGGCTGGCATAACTGCTGCCAGAGAATTGGAGCGTGTAGTGTAACCTGAATAAGCTATGCCTACAGCTGGAATGATACCCCAGCCTTGACAAGGTTAGTCAATGTAGTGAATAGTCGTGAAAGGTATACATACAGAAGACCGAACAGACAAGGACGAAGAGTGTATCAGTACGGTCGCAAGCTTCCCAGGCCTGTAGGACCTCGGTGGGCAAGCCCATGGTGGAGGTTTTTAGTAGAAGTTCCGTTTCAAGGTCAATATTCTTGCTATAACGGTGGATATAGAGATGCAGGTAGTGAGTACGAGGCTATGCAGCGGGGAAGACGTGGGCAAGGGTTGAAGCTGCAGCAGGTACAAGCAAGCCACCTCAGCTGAGCGTATCCTGTTCCCGGTGTCCGCTTCCCTTCCCTTCCCAAGTGCCCAGCATTGAGGCGCTTGATAGGCAGTATGTGCAGACGCCATTGGCTTAACTAGGAGATCGTGTCGATCGCTGCGCGACGATAAGATAAGGAAGGCTCTCCATGGTCAACAACAGGAAGGCCGGGTGAAAGGTGCATTAGCCGAAGCCATGTTTAGCACCACTTTCTGATGCTCGTGACTTTGTGATATGCTTTTGCGGCGCTTCATACGCGAACATGGTAATTTAACAATTCGATGGAGTGCCGGCACCAGATGTCGATGGAGTGTCACAAAGGCCTCGATCGCAGACCTGGGGCGGCGCTTTCCCACATCCGGTAACGCTAATGCCGTTTTGAGCCTACGCAGAGGCACATCCAATGTTGATGAAATGTGACCACGGTTCCTGATCAGCGCGCCAAAAATGTCGGATAGCGAAGAGAACGATTTTTTCGGTGTCAGTCAGGACCTTGTTCCTCCCGCCCCTATCAAACCTGCGGGCGCTTCCGAGATAGATTTTGACGGCCTACTGTCACCCCCACTCAAACTACATGAGGACCTGAAAAATGGCTGCGGCGGTCAACTATGGCCGGCCGGTATGGTACTGAGCAAATACATGCTGCGGAAACATCGAGAGGATGTCGCAGGTAAAGAGATAGTCGAGCTTGGTGCCGGAGGCGGGCTCGTCGGGTTGGCGGTCGCGATAGGATGCAAAGTCGACACCACATTACATATCACGGATCAAGAGCCGATGTTCGAACTCATGAAGCGCAACATCACGCTGAACGCTCTGGATCCTCGTGTCAGCGCCTCGATATACGACTGGGGAGAGCCGACGCCATCACAGCTACCAGCACACCCGGACATCATCCTGGCCGCGGATTGTGTATATTTCGAGCCTGCTTTTCCGTTGCTGCAAAAGACCCTACAAGACTTGATCGGCGATAAGACTGTGTGCTATTTCTGCTTCAAGAGGAGGAGACGGGCAGATCTGACGTTCATGAAGACGGCGCGAAAGATGTTCCACGTGCAGGAGGTGGACGATGATCCTGATAAGGAGGTATACTCGAGGGAAAAGCTGTTCCTGTAAGTGTAGAAACTATGTGATGAGCCACAGCTGACGCATGCAGTTATCGCATAACGAAGAAGACTAGTTGATGGAAGGACAAGATTGTGGTGGACTAGCATCTGAATAGATGGTTGGCTGCACGTCACGACGTTCAGTGCAGGTCCATGGGTAGAGTGTCGCGAACCCTGGTAGCCCCTTCTGATAGCCAAATTCCCGATTTGTCTCTTCTTATATTATCTGTCCAAGACATCCGCTGTCGAGAAGGATACCATTCATATTTATTCAACCATGTCGCACTGCTGCATGCGCGCTTTGGATTTGCCCGATGAAACTCGACCCACTCCGGACCCTTATGGATACCTCCGGTCACTTCCCGATGTTTCTACAAGTCTTGATATTGCTCGCCATCGGCCGGCACTGGCATTTCTCAACAGCATAACGCCCACAAATGCTACTTGCGAAGACATACATCCGTTATTCCAGCAAGCGCAGTGGGTGAACTTAAGCTGCGAGACCTACCTGCAGCTACTACCTGCTCTGAAAATTGCTACGCAGCTTACTAGGCAAGCATCCTCCCTGTCTTTCCACAACTATGTCCTTCATGGGGAACTCAAGTATCTTAAGGAGAAGCGAAGGTATTATCTTGCTCCATCGGCATATGAGGCAACTCAAACAGCTCACCTGATGACGACTGAAACGCTTGACATCACCCTGCCGAGATATCTAAGGCTCGAGTTTGATGAACTTGACGAGGACGGGTTCCAATTCGATGCCATGACATATTTCGGCGAAGGCGCGAGTGTTTCCGAGATTGTATACTGTCCACGGATCCAGCTCCATACTCATCACCTCTACGCACTCCGTCACGTTATCAATCATGGGTCTCTATACGATCAAGAGGCGATCTTCCTGAGAATCGCTATCGCTCTTTGCCACGAACTTGCCCATGCCGTCTGGTATCATCGCAGCAGCATCGAGAATTCATCCTCGTAAGTCGATCTTTGAACATGTTCATTGCGAGTTGCCACTAACATATTTGTAGACCCACGACTACCCATGGCGACCCTCTTTATCAGTTGGCTGACACCGATCCCGAACTAGGGAATGCTTGGGAGCGTCATACCTTCGGCGGCAACATCTGGACTATCGACTATCCGGGCAAGATTACTACGTATTACTACCAGTTGGATGCAACAACTGGTCGCAGCGATTATGATACGCGCATTATCGTGCCGCGTTGGTGGGTACACATGTTCTTCCTCCAGCCGATATGGACCTACTTCAGTCGACTACATCATGAGGGACTACTGCGACTACCGACTGAGCTCGAAAGCGGGTGCGCATTTCGGAAGCATTCACCAGAATCGAGCATGGACTGGACCATGTACATTCATGGCGCGAAGCAGGAGCCAGCCTGCATGATGACGCGTGCGGTGCCATACTTGTTATGGAACCTTTTGAGGCCTGCTCTAGAACGCCTAGAGAATTGTAATAAATCTAAAGATGGATGGAGACGTCCAAGCGAATCGGAACGAAATCGAGAAGAATATGAGGAGATGTGCAGGTCGCTAGTAGATCAAGCGGCGGCACCTCATACAATGTCGGAACCAGACGTGTCTCTTTCACAGCCTACATTGCAGTACAAACGGTAGATCAATGAATGTAGCGTTCACGTTGGCCTCGAAATTCTCTGCGCACATGATTAATCTTCATACTGATTTCTTCGCCGGGATAGATAGCGATTACACCACTAGCTCAAGCGCTCTCTTTAGTTTTACGTGGATGCGACTCGTGCCGGCTCTCGAAAAACTTGGCCGTAATCCCAATCATGGCGATAACAGCAGAAACCGCGAGAAAGTTGACAATCATGTTGCCCTTTTCCCACTCCTCCTCTACCTTGATGTTCCTACGCAGCTTTTTCCGCCTAGCCCAAATATGCTCGTTCACGTTGTCCTGCGTTTCCTTGTGCCTGACGTTGTCAAAGTGTGGAACTTGATTCCCTTGTTTCTGCTGACCAGGGCCAAATCCACCCCATTCGCCGTAGGATTCTTGACCAGCATGCCTGGAAGCCTCCCCATTCTCCTGTGCGTTGGAATATGCGTATTCGGCTCGCTTCGCGCCGTGACGTCCATAGCCACCGGCCTTATAGAATGAGGGCGGTGGCCCTCTGAAGGTGCTGCGCTTTTTGTTCAGCCCGCTGGCCGGCCTTGAGCCATATGCAGCGGAACTGTAACTCCCTTGCGGATATTCACTCCTGCTCGCTCCCCAGCGTGATTGTCTTTGCGAGTGCTCTAGTTGTGCATCGTATTGCGCGCGCTTCTCTGGTACAGAGAGAACGTGGTATGCCTCGCTGATTGCGACGAAACGTGTGGAGGCTTCGGGGTCGTTGCGGTTATGGTCCGGGTGGTTTTTCTTCGAGAGCGTGTAGAACTGGCGCTTGATCTCAGAAGCAGACGCCGCCGAAGTGAGGTGTAGCGTCTCGTAATGATTGACTAGGGCGTCCGCGTATCGTGGGGCCGTAGCATGGAACTGCGAGACTTGTATGCGCCGCGAAAGAGCGGGACCCGTGCGACGGAGACATGAGTGACAGATGTATGGCGAGGATATGCGCGACAACCGAGAAGTCGACGTTTGAGCGATTGATCGCAGTAGGCTAGATGGGCGGGGTGGCATTGCCCATTACCAATATCCGAAGGTGAGGGTGCCCATGCAGAAACATGAGTTTGGGTGAATGTTCGGCGCGCATGGAGGACGTCATCGCCAAGCTCCCGAGGCTAAGACAAGCATGGCCTAGCTTCAGAACCCAGTCAGTGGGCGACACTCCACCGGCGTCAGTTAGCGGGGCGTTTCGAGACGCTCGTAAATTTCGAGATTGTCCACGAGACACGCACTATTATACTCTCGACACGGCCAACATGGCGGCCAAGGTAGCGGACGAAGTCGCCAACATGAAGTGTATGGAAACGCTACCTCTCGCGTTACATCGCCTAACAGCGTACAGTGGACGACACCAACGGCAAACCAGCAAATGGTACAACGGAGAACGGCGAAAAGCCCACAGGCGATGCGGATCACGAAGACTCAGACGATGACAACGAGGCCGAGGATGGAGCACCAGAAGCCGGCGAAGGCGCTGCGAAAAAGAAGAAGAAGAGGAAGCCCAGAAAGAAGAAGAAGGCTGGCGCAGCAGGCGGCGCAGGAGGGCCCAAGGTGCAGACATCACCGCCACGAGTTCGCATCGATGAGCTGTTCCCCAACGATTCGTACCCCGAGGGCGAAATCCAAGAATACGTCAACGAGAACGCCTACCGGACCACCAATGAAGAGAAGCGCCACCTCGACCGCATGAACAACGACTTCCTCACCGAATACCGCAAAGGCTCAGAGATCCACCGTCAAGTTCGACAATGGGCTCAGAACTGGATCAAGCCGGGCATGTCGCTCACCGAGATCGCAGAGGGTATCGAGGACTCTGTTCGCGCCTTGACAGGACACCAGGGTCTGGAGGATGGTGACGCGCAAATAGCGGGCATGGGATTCCCGACTGGTCTGAGCATAAACCACTGTGCAGCGCATTACACCCCCAATGCGGGCAACAAAATGGTCATCAACTACGAAGATGTCATGAAGGTCGATTTCGGCGTACACATCAATGGACGTATTGTGGACAGCGCGTTCACCCTGACCTTCGACCCCGTATACGACAATCTCATCAACGCATGCAAGGCTGCGACAAACGCCGGTATCAAGGAAGCCGGTATCGACGTCCGCATGAGCGACATTGGCGCTGCTATCCAGGAAGTCATGGAGAGCTACGAGGTGGAAATCAAGGGACAGATGCTGCCCGTCAAGTGCATAAGGAATCTGAACGGACACTCCATCGGACACTACACCATCCACGGCGGAAAAACTGTACCGATCGTCAAGGGCGGCGACCAGACAAAGATGGAAGAAGGCGAGACATTTGCTATCGAAACATTCGGCAGCACAGGAAAGGGATACGTTCGGGATGATGTAAGTCACTCGCCTACTAGTAAGCCTACACTTGATCTAACAAGTACCACAGATGGAGACATCTCACTACGCCAAAAAGGCCGACGCACCCAAAGTCGCTCTCCGCGTCTCGTCAGCAAAGACACTCCTCAACTCCATTACCAAGAACTTCGGTACTCTGCCTTTCTGCAGGCGGTATCTCGATCGCATGGGCCATGACAAGTACCTCTTGGGCTTGAACAACCTGGTCAGCGCGGGTATTGTCGAGGCCTACCCCCCGCTTTGCGATATCAAGGGCAGTTATACAGCACAGAGTGAACACGTAAGCAGCCAGTCTCATTCGTCAACGCTTTGAAGATATTTCTAACGCAAGACAGACATTCGTGCTTCGCCCCAACTGCAAGGAGATTCTTAGTCGCGGTGACGACTACTAAGCTCCAATTACACGTCAAACATGAAGCGTCTGCAATTTCATAGTAACATGTGACAACAAGTAGAACGAAGCTATGTGTTCCGCGCTAATGAAGCAACGGTTTCATGACCATGACTGGGCACTGCATATACCGGAAACAACAAGAAGTAAAAAACATACCATACCCGATTGATCAGCTTCCACTTGCCTTTCTCTTCCTTGAACAAACTAACGCCAGTACGCTCCATGTCTTTACTAGGGGTACAGATTCAGTAAGTATACATCATCACTACGAGCATATAGATCGGGGTCCAGAGTTCCAGTAAATTGTATTGAGACGAATTGTCGCACACACACCCAAGGAGTATGCTCCGTTCGCTCATCAGCACTAGATTGATATGATACTGCTTCGCGAGAACCAAAAGAATCTAAAAGCCAGCTCTTTCATCTCTTTTCCACAAATATGTCTCTTTTCGAGGTGCTTAGCCCTCGAAGGTGAAGCTGGTGCCGAGCTTGTGGCCGGCCTCGTTCAGCTTCTGGGTATCGAAAGAGCCACCAATACCGAAGGTCAGACCGCTGTTGACCTTGGTGTTGTAGGCGAGGGAAGCAATGCCGAGGTTGTTGATCTTGGCCTGGATGGGATTAGTACAGACGCCCTCGTGCATGTCAGGGACCGTCATACCTTAGCGAAAGACGCAGGGTCAAGCTTGTACTTGGCAGCGAGCTCAAGACCGACGTTGTTGCCGGACTTTGAGTCCCAGACAGCGCGGGCACCGGCCTCGACAGCGGGGTTGACGCGCTGGTAGTACGAGGCGGTGAAAACGCTCAGGGAGTTGGTGGCAGTCACGGCAGCGTTGTAGAGAGGGGTGGTGTATCCGACAGCGGCGGAGTACTTGGTGATGGCAGCCTTCTGCACATCGTAACCGACTTCACCACCAACGACCATGCCCTCGTGGCTAACGACAGCATCAGCGGTGGTGCCAATGGCGCCAGCAGCCGAGTAGTCGACGAAAGCGCGGCCGTGGAAGGCAGGCTGCTTGAAGTGAAGGTTGACCTTCTGGCCCTTGTTGCCGGCAGCGGGGTTGAAGTTGGAGAGAATCTCAGTCTTCAAGCCGCTGGCAAAGGTGTCGTTGAGCTCGACCTTGGTGGCCAGCATGTTGGCAGTGTTCCATGACTGGGTGATGCTGATGCCTGCGTCGTCCGTTGTCAGTAGGTTGATTCCGTAGCCCGCCACGGAAAAGCCCCCCTTGCCGGGAGGCTGCTTCACGTGGAATATATAAGATTGAAAGTTGGAAGACGTATGAAGGGGTACAGAGAGGCTCGTGGAGCGGGGGAGAAAGGAATCGTTTGTCGTACCGTTGGAAAGCGACTTCTTGCCCTCGAGCTGGTGGACGCGTTAGCCATGGCGGTTTTCCGCGTACAATGGCGGGCTTACCGAGGAAGTGACGGGGCCATCGTGGGCAGAGGTTCCCTTGGCGGTGAAGTTGACACCGTTGGGGGCCTTGAGCTTGACCTCAAGGGCAGCTGTGGGCGCGTCAGTGGGAGGGCAGGCGGATCAATTGGAGTCTCGGACCTGCGGCAGTGTGGTAGAAGTCCTTGTTGATGAGCTGGAGGGCGGCTCCGTTAGCAATGGCGCCATGGGGAAGCTCGTCGCGGGGAGCCAAAACATACGTCGTTGGAGGCCTTGGCGATGTCGCTGAACGCCGGCGGCGGGAACTTGGGGATGATCTTCTCGACCTTGACGTACTCAGTCATGTTGGGCGGTTTGGTGGGGGATGTGATGGAGGAAAGAGGGGTGTTTAGGGCGTCGTGTTGCTGGCTGCAAGCAAAACTTCTTGAGAAGTCACGGCAGGGTCCGCGCTAGTAATCCCGGATGATCTTCGTGCCTGCCAGTCCACCCACTGTCCGTCCATCCCTCAGACACGACCAAACTCTGTTCTCCATGTTCGTCGGCGTCGACTATACTGTAGGCTAGGCGCCCCTTCATCTTACTTGACACTCAGATGATGCGACTGCCGCTCCTGCCACTCCTGCCATCTGCGCCCTCAACCATGGAACCCGTTTCCAGGCGCAGTCGCCCGCGCGCGTGGCATCGTCTCGAGTTGTTCGGCCCACTCGCCCACGCACATGTGGTCGCCAGTCTTTCCTTGACCGGACGCTTTGTACAGCGCAAGAACAGCGCATGTCATGTGGTGTGGGGTCGTCTGTCTGGGCGACAACGTTGACCCTGCAAGCACATCCTCATAGCAACATACTCCAGTCACCATCCCGAGGGCGAAGACAGCCCACTTACTTGCCATTTGTTCCATGTTTCTTCTGAATCTGATCACGCAGTTGAGATGCCTCAAGTACACGTACGGAGTGGGATCTAGCCATGCTCGTTCGCATTGCCTGTGGGGTTATCTTGGTGTCTGCATATTAGCAACCCCATCAATCGCTGAACGAATGACTTTCCTCGCACCGCAATTGTAACTTTGAAGAATGTGCGACATTGCGTTGACGCTCCGATGGGAGGGTACCGTCGTTTGGTTCACACCAGCCTTACCATCGGTGGCCGATCTCGGGTTCCCAGACGGCTGCACTCCGCGCCCCGCTAAATAAATAAAACTCCTAGAGTGACTCTGACGTTGATTATTCTAGCGCACGCGTCTGGACCTGCAACGACACAATAATTAAACCGACGCTCTTTGGACACATACACAGACCTTTGGATACACCGAGCACGCATCTCATTGACTAGTCGCCGTTCACAAGGGAGCCGAATCCCCACTATCACGCCAACACCACAACCATAATGTCTACCTTTGGCACGCACTTCAGGGTCACCACGTATGCATACGCGCAGTATAGTTGCCCGACGTCTACTGACCTGCGATAGCTATGGCGAATCCCATTGTCTTTCCGTCGGCGCCATTATCGACGGTTGCCCGCCGGGCATGGCCCTTACTGAGGATGACATCCAACCCCAGATGACGCGCCGCCGACCGGGCCAGTCCGCCATCACTACCCCCCGCAATGAGAAGGACCGCGTAGAGATCCAGTCTGGCACAGAATTTGGTATCACACTGGGCACCCCGATCGGCATCAGGGTCATGAACGAGAACCAGCGCAAGCAAGACTACGGCAACAAGACCATGGACATGTACCCAAGACCGAGCCACGCCGACTGGACATACCTGGAGAAGTACGGTGTGAAGGCTAGCTCAGGTGGTGGACGAAGTAGCGCACGAGAGACCATTGGTGAGCGGATTCCGGCACAACCACCGTACAAATGCTAATGGTGCCCAGGACGAGTAGCAGCCGGTGCGATAGCGGAGAAGTACCTGCGCGAAGCCTACGGTATCGAGATCATCGCATTCACCAACTCCATCGGAAACGAGTTCCTCTTCCCTCCCACACCCGAACACCCCACCGCGTCCACGAACCCAGAGTACCTCAAGCTAATCGACTCGATTACACGCGACAAGGTAGACGAGTACCTGCCCGTTAGGTGTCCGAGCGACGATGTCACCAAGCGCATGGAAGACTTGATCGCCAAGTACCGCGACGCACAAGACAGCATAGGTGGCACTGTGACTTGCGTAATAAGAGGTTGCCCGACAGGCTTGGGAGAGCCATGCTTTGACAAGCTGGAGGCCAAGCTGGGACACGCTATGCTGTCGATTCCCGCAACCAAGGGTTTTGAAATCGGATCCGGCTTCGGAGGCGCACAACTACCGGGCTCAATTCACAATGACGCGTTCGTCAAAGCTCCTGCTGTCCCGGCAGGCGAAAACCCCGATGCAAGCAAGTACCGCTCAAAACCCAAGCTCACCACCAAGACCAACAACTCGGGCGGTATCCAGGGTGGTATCACCAACGGCGCGCCCATCTACTTCAACGTAGCTTTTAAGCCGGCAGCGACAATTGGACAGGCGCAGTCTACAGTCACATACGACCAGGAAGAAGGAGTGTTGGAGGCCAAGGGCAGGCACGATCCTTGTGTAGTGCCTCGTGCAGTGCCCATTGTCGAGATGATGGCTGCATTGGTCATCATGGATGCTGTACTAGCTCAGCAGGCGAGACAAGGCGCGAGGAGCTTGCTTCCACCGCTAAAGGGTGTTCAACCCGTCAATGGCGCTTGATAGGCCGGATGATGTAAGTCGGGTATAACGGGAGTGAAGGCGCCAGCTGCACGTGTACGATGTTTTTGCGCCGAGATGGATGAAAGTTATTAGACTTGATGTATAGATAAAAGTGCCACGACTCTACAGGATCAGGGTCCACAGATGGGCTCAAAGGCTCAAAGTCATTCCGAGTCGGAATACAGCAAGTTCAGCAGCGAGAACCAGTTCAGATGCTACCCATGATCATACAAACTTGTCTACCACCCTCGGCCGAGCTGACAGAACCGTCGGCGAGACGAATAGTTCACATGCGAGCCGAATGGGCAAAAGAGTAGAACCAAATCTCCATCTTCGTGACGTGCATCTTACCGGTAAAACGTAGGATAAGGCTTGCAGCTGTAGACTAGTCGAGACGTTCCGATAGAGTGGTAATAGGCACCGCCACCTGGTGTCTTTACCCATTGAGAGGCCGATGTTCACCGGCAAGGACTTCCAGCCTCGCGGAAGCCAGTGTGGGTGCCGGCAGAGTCGCCACACTGTAAGAAGAGGTGACCAGGAGGATGCATTGGCAGCGGATGCTATCGGGCCTTCCCCTCCACCAAAAGCAAGAACCCTGGCTGTTGGAGATCCCTTCGCTTGCAGCCGCGAGCCAACATGACATAGGACACGCTCCGCGAACCCCTCTTCCTCCAGTCTATCCTCTTGCCTACAAGCAGCTCTTGTCAGTGTCGCTCCCTTGTCTGACCGACATCGAGATCGCGCACAAGCACGTGTGCCGCCTTGCATCATCCGTGTGAAGATAGCCATGGCAAATTCGTCCAGCTCGGTGCGCCATGCCGAAGCTAGTCGTTGATGCTGGTGGTGCTCCAAAAAACTCTGTCCTGTCGCAAGCAGATGCTGCAGTACCCGAAAACAGGCTCCACCGATAGAGTCGTCCCAAGTTCGCTTCTATCTCCGCAAAGGCCCCTCGCGTCCGGACATGTCAGCTGACCCATGTCTCCGGGACCTCGATTCGAATTCCCACGTGCGGCACAGCCTGTCGGACGCGACCTATACATCTGTTACAGCCCATCGGCTACTGCAGTAGGCGTTTAACTCCCAATCTAGATCCGATACCAGGCCAATCGAGCCTCTTCGTCGTGGTCGCGCATCGATCCTTTTGGATGCCGCCTCTGCGTTTGCCACCCTACCGAAAATCATCCATGGGCTTTGATCTTGCCGAACGCAAACTAAGGCAGGCACGTTGAACGTCGCGACGGGCGCCAACGTCACAGCTACCTAATCCGAGCCCGCTGTTCTTCTCCCTCGACATTGGTGGCTAATCATATTACTCTCCTACCCGGCCCAGAGAATGGAATAACTAACTCGTCCTCGGAGCCCACGCGGACTGCCTCTTCATTCCCCTCGTGATCAACCATGGCCCGCGCCGCTACTGCCACCTCTTCCAACAACAGAGACGACCAAGATAACTCACAGGCGCAGGACACAAAAGCCAGTAAGCGGCGCTGTGTCCAGTCGGCCTGTGTGCCCTGCCGGAAACGCAAGTCCAAAGTAAGCATCAATCTTCCCACTGCATGATCCAATTCCACATTGAGCTCCTACATCTGGCCCGATGCTAGAGATTCGCCTCCGCGGAAGGCTCGACACCAGCGAGGATTATCCGCAAGTCTTGTTTGGGCCATTCTCCGGGCAACTTTCCCGGTCCTTCGCCAAGTGCCCTCCTGCTGACACCTCATCTACAGTGTGACGGTGGTACACCCGTGTGCGCGACTTGCACTGCCGTCTACAAGACTGAATGTCATTACGATGCTGAGAGCGAGAGTCGTCGCACTAAGGCTACTCCGACGATCGCAAACAATACTGGGATCAAGCGCGACGCCTCCCTTGTCGCCACCTCCAGCCCTGAGAATACCTCGAGCGCCGAATTTATTGTCAATTCGCTGAGACGTCTACCTGAGGAGCATGTCCAAGAATTTCTCAATCATATTCGAAGAGACCCCAGCCTCGACATCACCTCCCTAGCTGAAACATGGCGCAAGAACGTGACGCTGACGCAGAGCGAGCCCGTCGACGTTCAGAGCCTCGAGTCAGATCTTAGTGTGCTGCTTGGGAAGCCATCTGTTACATCCACCGGCCAGAGCAGACACTTTGGACATTCTGCAAGCCTAGGCCTGGTACCCGAAGATGAGAATTTCGGTGGCGGGCGGCTGCGTACCAACAGCGTGAAGCCAGAGCGTCAAGGGTCAACATGGACCAACGTAACCGATGACCTGGCTTTTGTTGAGACGCTGCTTGACCTCTATTTCACCTGGAGTCATCCCTTCTACGTGCTCTTCAGCCGAGAGTGCTTTTACAAGGACTTCAGAGCGGGACGCGACAAGTACTGCTGCTCTCTACTGGTCAATGCTATATGCGCATATGCATGTCATCTCACAGAAGACCCTGCAGGTCGCACGGATCCTGACAACTTCCGTACTGCAGGCGATCACTTCTTTGCCGAGGCCAGGCGACTTCTGTTCGAAGATGAAACCCCGAGCCTGACGACTGTTCAGGCGCTCTGCATTATGTCGATGCGTGAGCCGAGTACAGGGAGAGAAAGTTCAGGCTTTTCCTACATGGGAAGGTGTCTTCGTATGTGTGTTGAGCTTG